GGTGTGTTTTGGTAGGGTTCGGTCTTCCAGTGGGGTTTGGTCTTGGATTAGCACCATGAGGCTGGGGGTGAAGAGGGGAGGGTGGTGGGCTCCCCACCAGGAACTGAGGTGTAGTGGGAAGAGCCCCACACCAAAGGTGTCCAGGACAAGGGGACGCAGGGCATCGCCTCCCCGGCCGAACATGTCCAGGGCACCATCCTACAAGCCCAGCTAGAACCACCAAAATTTATCCTGTCCCGTGAGCCTGAGGGAGGGAGCACTTATGGGACCACCCCATTCCCTGGCAGCTGCAAGTGCAGGCAGGAGTTGCCCACTCGAGGACAGGAGATGAGGACGTCGGACGGTCTCTGCTCTGTGGTCACCCCTTTCCACCCCATATTTCTCTGTCCCAGGTCAGCCTGCTCAGCCATGAACACCTCCGCGCCTGGCAGCCAGCTGAGACAGCCTGAGCCCCAGGACGTGGCCGCCTTCACTCCCATCTCCATTGTCAGGAGCGTGACAAAGAAATCTGATGCCCTGCCCATGATCTCAGTGATCGTTGTCATCTTCGTCCTCTTGGCCATCTTCATCATCATTGTGGTGCACTACGGCCCTCACCTCCGTACCGTCCAGATCACCCTCTACCATGAGCCCATGCCACAGGACCTGGACGATGGGGTGCACCTCACGGACTGGAAGAAGCTGGGTTCCCAGAAGAAGACGCCTGCCCAGCCCTGCCAGTGGGAGCCGGGTGGCACGGATGTGGCCGGCATGAGCTGCCAGTGCTCCTGCAAGCATCACCTTCCCTGCGGGAACGCTGAGCCCAACGTCATCGAGATCACGTACCTGTGACAAGGCTGTGGGCCACCTGGGCAGGACTTGAGGGACCACGTCCCACTGGAAAAATAGTGACTGGGGTGTCAGTTTAGCCTGAGACTCACTGGTTCCTGCACGTGGACGTTTTATCTCCTCAGGATTGTGTCTCTCCTGAGGCAGGCTCAGATAGAAGGTTGTGTCACTGCAGTGACCCATCATCGGCCCCCAAAAGTCCAGCCCAGGGGACCACTGTCCCTAAGCAAGAGCTAGGTCCCCAGCCGGGGCTCTGGGGCTGGGTCAGCCTACGTGGGACAGCGTTAGCATCTCTTCTGGTTTTTCTCGCCCTGGTTTTACCTGTCCCACGCTGTCTGGGAGTGCCCAGGAGAGCTGTCTCTTGGTCCTCGCCCCAGCTGGGGAGCGCCGGGCAGGAGCTGGAAGTTACATCATCTGGAATCGCTTTCCAGATTAAAGATGTTTCCACATGCACAGTGTCCTCATTATGCCGTTTACATGGCACAGAAAAGCCTCCAGCCCCTCTTTTCCTCCATGCCACAGCCCCTTTCCCTCCGTCGGAGGGCTGAAGCACTGTCCTCCCTCCTGCCAGCCCCGGCAGCGGGCTCAGCCCATCACAGCAAGGGGAGAAGAAGCAGCACCTGATGTTTCAGTGGTGGAGCCAGCAGCAGAGGACAACGTGTGGACAGGGGTAAGAGAAGAGAGGTGACACCACAGAGGCAGGAGATGTGAGGATGGCACATCAGTCAGCCCTTGCAGTTGGCTGAACATCTCGAGGTGTTAGCACCGGTGGAGAAATACATGCATCTCCGGGGAGAGCTTGCAGCATCGCTGTGCACGAAGGCAGGGATGGGGAGACCTGAGGTCATCTTCATTGTGGTCATCTTTGTTGTCCCCATCCCTGTACCAAGGGAAGCTCTGCTTGGGGATCTGGGAACTTGAGTGATTTCAGCGTTGGAAGCAGCAAGGCACGTCCCAGCTGAGGAGGGAGCAACGGTGGGGTCGGCATAGCCAACCCTGTTGGGATGGATGTTGATGTGGCTTGGTCACCCTGGGCAGAAGCTCGTTGAGGTGGCACAGAGGAAGCAGATGAAGGGGTGAAACATCATCCTGAGCCCCAAAAGGCTCCTGGTGGTAGCAGACCGTGGTGACCTGCTCAGCCCTGAGAGTCTTTCTGCTGCTGGAAGTGCTGGGCATCTCTTTGGAGAAGAATTTGGTCCCAGTTTCTCCTCACTTGGTGGAAGCTGGACATCAAAGCCTGTCTTCAGTGCGTGGGCTCGGAGGACAGTGCCTGGGGAGGGAGCAAAGCCTCTGAGATCGCCCTCAAGGATTTATTCTTCTGAATAGTCCCAGGAGTCAAAATACAATTCCTGCCTCTCCTCTCCCCCTCCTAGACCAGAAAAGCCAGATCCGTGTCCATCCCAAGCCGCATCCCTGGCGCAGATCCCTATGTGAACTATTGGACAAGAAATGGGGTCTTTTACCTGTTCCTCGGGATGCCGGAGGTATTTCTGACACGGCAT